CCCTCCCCCAGATTGTTTTACTTGGTCTAGAGGCACAAAGCATTTTGATTGGTCTATCTCCGTCGGAGACGTCTCCGAATAGATACTGCGAACGGAAACAAGAACAGAAGAGATGCCCACTAGGAGGGCCACTCCCCACACGAAGGATGAAGAGCATTTACAGTCGCCGAGAGAGTTGGGAGTGGGAGTGAAACAAAACACACCACCACGATAACGTTCATTAAGCAGCTGGGCGGGGTTTTTTGTTGGGATTTTTTTTTGTCGTGTGTGTGTGTGTGTGTGTGTGTGTGTGTGTGTGTGTGTGTGTGTGTGTGTGTGTGTTTGTGTGTTTTTGTTTGTAGTTTTTTTGTTTTGTATTTTTGGGGGAGGAAGGTTGTTTTTGTCTTGTTTTTCAAATTTCTTTTTTTAAATATCTATTTTTTGTTTTAGAAAGAGTTTTACGGCACTTGCAACACAAATAGGTCAAACAAGTGTCGAACATTAGAGGTGTGACAAGAAAGTAACATAAGAAAAAGAAAAGAAGGAGGAGAGATAAGGACATTAAATATTGGATAGGAAAGAAAGAGCAAACAAAACTAGAGCATCCTCCAACAAACCGCTTTAAGCTTTAAGCATCTAGAAAAAGGGGGGGGGGGATTGGTAGGAGAGCAAAAAAAAAGGTTTGGTTTGGTTTTGTTCTGTTTTTGTTCTTAAGAAGCACTACTTATAGTTTGAGTTTTAAGCCCTTGCAACCAACATACGTCAAACAATATGTGCCGACGAACAAGGGCGTTACTAACTAGCGAGAAACATGCAAACAAAAGAAGGCGGACATAGAATGGACGAAAGATGTTAGAAAGAAAAGAAGGAGCAAAACCACCAATCACCCACGAGCAATTTAAGTGATGCACAGAAACTACGGAGTAGGCAGTAAAAAAAAAGTGGCAGACAGAAACCACAGAGGGACAATAAAGAAGCAGAACCTTTCAATAGAGCAGAAGGGAAAGACAAGAGGGTAAACAGAAAAAACAGTGAAGAGAAAAGCGGACTGTCAGATACAGTAGAATAATAATATACATAAAAAACAAATTAAAAATTGTTTACTTTAATATATTACTCCCACCATCGACAGAACTAAAATCATTTACGAAGCAGGCTACTTGGACCCTGTCTGTCAGGGCCAACCCAGGCGGAGAGGGATACTCCAATATGGCAAGCTTTAGTTTAAGTAAGTGTTTTACGGCACTTGCAACACAATAAGGTCATATAAGTGCCGAAGATTAGAGGTGTTACAAGAGTGTAACAAACACACAAAAAAAGGAAGAGAGATCAGAATGATAGATGTTTGATAGGAAAGAAGGAGCAAACCACAACAGAGCACCTGCCAACTACCCACAATTGGGAAGCGAACTCACACCTTCTTTGAGCAATGACGAAGCACCCACCCCTGACATTACAGCTGCTAGTCAAGGAGATGGAGACAAATTTGAAAAATATGTGTGTGTGTGTGTGTGTGTGTGTGTGTGTGTGTGTGTACATGTGTATATATATATATATATATATATATATAATATATATATATCGAAAAACTTCCGCATACACGACTACAAAACAGGTCAAAGAAAAGTCAATTGACAAACAAAGGTAAAAAGAAGCTCATTGCTTTGCTTTGTTGGGCAATCTCATGCCTTCCCAGACTCTCCACAATGTCACATAGATACAAATACAAAACAAACAAAAAGGGAAACTCGTACTACACAATTCTTCCACCAAACCTCACGAATCTACCCCTTGTAAAAAATAAAAAAGACATGAGCAAACATTTGACCAATCTAGTAATTATTATACAGAAAAATAATAAATAAAAATAAAGATTTTTCAAAAATATTACCAGCAATTAAAATCACAGAATAAATAAAATTAAATAAAACTGTTATGAAGATGCTCATTGTTGCAGGAGAACAATGCCATGCTCCAATTCAACAACGCCGTTATCAGGCCAACGGCACAGGTTGGGCACACCGTGCTCATTCCAAAGACGTAAAACCACGTAACTGGTTACTGCAGCCCTTTTTTGTGGGATTCCCACTGCCCAACATGTCTCAACAAAGAGGCAATGTCCCTGCAGAAGAGCCTCTCACAGTTCTACAGCATGCTCGTATGACCTCATGCAATTGTGAGCGCTGTAAAACACTTACAAAAAGAAAAAAAAACAAAAAACAAAAAAAACTCAGTGCTGCTGGGGGTATGAGCTCATCACTGCCAGGGACAATGCCAACCTTTGTAGACAAAAGTTGGGAGATTGGGGAACAACGCAGAAAGTGCTGTAGCAAACAGTCCTATAACTCTGGGTGCCTTCGTATATCGTCACGGTCATAAACATATTATCTTCATTCTTGGTAATTATTTGGAAGAGTAGAAAAAAAACAACAACTAAATCCCAGCAAAGACCCAAGAGTGAGCCAAAGTCTTGAAAGTATTTTAACATTTATCATTTTTCTCAAAAAATTTAAAACAAGTGAATAAGGTTTCATAAACGTATATCATTGCTGTTCAAAAAAGAATTAGAACTTCATTACTTCATCATGGACAAAGGAAAAACTCAGTTTTCTTGCAACTGCGACAGTGCTCAAAATATGACACACTTAGTTCTTCAAGCAACAAAACCACCTTTTCTTTTTGCTAAAGTGAATCATCCTATCTGACACAAAATAAGTTATCAAAAAAAAAGGGAGTTAGGGCATCTCTAAAAAGAACAAGAAAGAAACTAAGACCCTGGATTTGACTCATGCCTCCATCTACTGCAAAAGCCTGTCTTAGAGAAAGATATTTTACTATTTGACTCTTTACCCATGACCGTGACGATACACGCTTGAGGAGGGTGGTTTTGTTAACACAGGAGACAAGACAGGACAAAGGAAAAAAAGGATTGAGGGGGAAAAAAAACGCATTCAGATAAAAACTTGCAAGCAATGCTCATCTCCTGGTACATATACTTACAGCAACTTTGCGGTTATCCTGCCGAAATGTCACACACAAATCAGATGTCAATGCAATCTTTGTACAACGATAACAACAACATTTGTGGTTTCCCAAAACAAGAAGCGCCACAGTACAGTAAAACCTCAATATTCAGCACTCTGTAAGGGAAGTATCCGTGGCAAAAATTAAGTCCATCTTTATCAAAAATCCAAAAGACAGAGCCCTTTGGAAACTGCAGCTGCAACACGTCACAGGTTCAACAGAAAACATTTCCTGCTCTACAAAGAAGACATTGCACTGGCACCTCATGGCAAGCAATATCCATTACTTTGCGTCTCTTCTCATTCTATCTCATACTGTTGATCAACAACTGACATGCCGAGTGTGAGGTTGACATCAATTTAATGACAAAATCATTTAAATACGTCCGCAGTGACTACACACAAATTGTAGCAGGTATTTTTACTAGCCAATTCCCCCACTCCACCCCCATACCTCTCTCCCCAACCCCCCACCCCCTACCTCCTCCTCCTTCCCTTACCCAAACTATCAAATTTCACAAAGTGAGATGAAAAGACAAACATCTGAATAATTCAAATCTTTCAAAACTAAAAAGCAGGTTTCTACATCAAAGACTGCACTAAAAGAAGTGTTCTGCTGTTTCATTAATTTTATACCACAGAGCACACCGCGGTGCTATTCTCATTCTGTGACAAAAGCAAAGCAAAGAGACAAGCGTACTGATTTACAGTTATACCGAATGCACCCCATATCAGCAGCTAAGCCTGAAAAATATAAAACATGAACACTGCCTCGTATTATAAAGCAGCACCAAGCAAAGGAGGAAAGTCAAGACGTGTGAACATCATTCAAACAACAGACTATGCCATGAGTGTACACTTAAACAAAACAACGCGCACACACTGAAATGATAGAAGTGATCATCTCCATTTAACGGGGAACATTGAAAACAATTTGTTTTTTATCATTTCACAAAAACTCTCTTCCATTTTTTTTTTTTAAACCATCCTATCAAAGAAAGCAAGTTTTTTACCCACAGTCACATTCTCCACACTACAGAGTTCACAATACATCAAAATAGAAGAGCAGAAAGGTATAATTCAGCAGCATTTTTGGATTTGCGCAAGGTGGAAAGTTTTGAATAATGCAGTCGGTAGAACAAGTAGCCAGAGATATAGATATAGATATAGATATATATATATATATATATATATATATATATATATATACTTAATATATACAGACACATATATAAATATATACAATAATTTTTGAAGATGGACTCACCGACACGAGAGCGTCATCATTGAAGTAGTTGGCCAGGTCTCGTATTCCCAGGACAAATCCACTGAGACAAACAAAAAAGAAGAAAATTGTGAAATTAAATACATTACGAAATTTCTATTTATAACTCAACGATTAAAAAAACCCTCCCCAGTCTAACCAAAACAACAACAAAGACAGCCCTTCATTGACAACAGCAGCAAAAAAAAAGTTTGTAATAAGCACATGAAACCTATCTAAATATATAAGAATATTCCCACTGAACATCTTTATAATACCAGCCTTTCACATTTTAAGCTACAATCCTATTATAATCCCTTGTGAAAATATTTTATTAGTTACAAACATGTCCTGAGACTTTTACAAATACAAGACTATCATAAGTGTCCTCCAAACTCTCATCCCTCACAAACTGAAACATCACACATCTCAGTGTACTCTTCAGAACCCAATTGTCGTGATTACTTGCAAAAGAAAATGAGATACATGCTACACATCTGTTTGCAGTCCAGGACTTTGACAACTTGCTGTTCCATATAGTATTTTCAGATTCAAACACCCCTCCTAGGGGGCTCTCGTGGCCTAGAGGCTAAGGTGTTGGCCTCTCATTCAAAGGTCCCGGGTTCGAATCCGGGTAGTGACCGAAAAATTTTCTTCTCTAAATTTGTCTCCTTTCACCTCCTTTCCTGCTCTCTAGCAATGTTCTGTCGTCTGCTTTCGTCTCCTCTTTCAGCCCCCACTCCCTCATCTCCTTTGCCCCCTTCCTCTGGGCTCCTGATTCTTTCTACAGCCTTTCTACTGCTACTCCTTGACTTCTTCTTACTGCTGTCTTTCAGCCACACCCCTGATCTTCTGGTAGGAAAGATCTACACCTAGCCTTCTCGGACAAGGGCGAAAAATCTCGGAGGTCCCGTGTGCAAGTTGCGCACATTAAAGATCCCTTGGTGGTCTAAAATCGATAAGAGTAGGCTTCGGCCGCCACCCGGGCAAAATTCAAAATTTCCTACCAACTGAAAAAGTTTAATGTGTCCCGCGCGCTCATATGACCTTATGCAGCTGCGAGCGCCGTAAAACACTTACAAAAATAAAATAAAATAAATAAAACACCCCACCTTTGTTGTCACCTCTTTGCTTGAGCATCCTACCCACATATACATTTTCTATGAACAGCTTCGAGGACCCCATTTAAAATGTTTTACAAGACTCAAACTCTAATAAATTGTCTGTGAGTGAAAGTATATGGGCTCGTTTTTTCTCAATTTAAAAAACATGGCTAGTGAACCAAACTACAAGCATACTGTCGGGTACCTGTGTCCCGCGGCCCCACACACGCCCGCTCTTGCGTGTGGGGGCCGCGCGGGCGGGAGCTCCTACCACCGCGAGGTTCAAAGAGCCGCGCTCTCCGGCGGCCGCCCTCCCTTCCTCCGGGGTTGCCTATACCCCCTCGCCCTTTGTCCTTCTTCGGGGTGAGGGGGCAAGGGACCCCGCATTACAGAAAACTTGTTGAAAAGAAAAAAGAGCGCTCATATGACCTTAGCAGTTGCGAGAGCCGTAAAACCCTATACTACATACAAGCATACTGTTTTCTTACCTGCTGGCAGAGCTGAAAGACTTGCCCATGTCTATCATGGTGCTGCATTGCTTGACCAGCTAAAAGGGACAAGGGGAAAAGAACAAGATAATGTTAAAAACAAATAAAAGTAAATGTCATAATTCCCTCCCTCTGTTCCTTCTAAACACCACTAGGCAAAACCAGTGCTGCTCCACTTGACGGTCTAATGAAACAATGCGTTTTACCTTCAGGCCTGCTCAGGGTATTTCAGGAAATGAAGATCAAGGGAGCTGCCCCCCCCCCCCCCCCAACAATTTTTTTTTTTAAACACACACAAACTGCAACAAATATTTTTTTTTTAAGTTTTATACAGTTAATCATGACAGTGCCCAGCCAGAATAAACCCAGATGGACAAAAGTTCAGTATTATGGATTGCAATTGACCAGTAAAACCTCAAAGTGGAACTGATTTCTGACTGGTCAAGTGGATTTCCACCCTGAAACCTTCCACCAGTCCTCTTTTAACTCATACAGTCCAGAAAAGCATTTCAAATTTCATTCATGAGGTTTTGTAACGGATTTGCAACATGTAAACAATTTCCAACAGTAATCATGAATTATTCAGAACTTTCATCTTTTCATAAGTTGTCTCTTTACATGAAATTTGGGCTGAAAAGTGTGAGACATGCTTTGACAACTCAGTGAGAAACTTAAAGAGTGAATACAGGACTAACACTGTTTACAAGACAAAATGTTGCCCTCCAAAAAAGCAAAACAGTATTGTCAGAATATAAAATGAATATGAGCAGGACCTGTCTACAACATCCTCCATTTAATTACTCTTCAATGAAGCATAAAAGATCTTTAATTGTAAGTCCCAAGCAGGCAAGAGTAATTCTTTCAACTCACAACTATCACTGGCTACAGTAATGACAGCAAACCTTCAATATGGACATAAAAGCATCGAATGTAAAGAAAAAGGATTTTAAAGTAAAACTTACTGGATCCATAACAACAACAACAAAGTAAAACAAACTTAACAACTTTTACCTTTTCCTTCTCCACAGTTTCAATGAAAGACCTATAACGAGCCAATGAAGCACTAGTATAGACACTGAACAATGTATTCAATGTTCAAATTTAATACTTTGTATGGCCTCCCTAAAGAAAAGAAACATTTCATATTCTCGGCAACAAGGAGGTACTGCTGCTAGGCGCTACTTACCCTACGACCAGGAAGAATGAAAAGTCAGCAGACAAAAGAAAAGTTATCCATTCATTTCATTTCACTACCCCCCCCCCCCCCCCCTCCTCATGTTCACACCCTTTCCTTCATGAACCAGAAAACAAAACATCAGGTACTCTGAATGAGAGGTGAGCAAATCGTTATAACCTCTGCACAAATAAAAGAACCCCCCCCCCCCCCCCCGCCTCTTTCCTTTAATAAATCCCTATGTACGGTTAGTATTGGGCAACAATCAGCAAAGCAATGTGTCTAAACACTTCACCACACTCACCCTTTCTAGGCGAACTTCTAATGCCTCAATGTCACCCTCTGCATCTTCCAGAGATGTGCTGTCAAAGAAAAAAAAAAGACATTTTATTATTATAATAATAAGGGTTGTAGCTTTGAATTAAACAATGTTCTATACACACAAAAACTAACAGTCACAAGGCAGTGAACAGAGTGCTCATATATATATAATCCAGTTTGTTCAATCAAGTAGCACTTTATGCTTTTTAACTTTCAAATTATGTTTTTTTTGTTTCAAACGCTGCTGACCTAGCTTATTCTTCTTAAGCTTTAATCAAATGTGATCTTACAATAGAAAGTGGACTTTATCATTCATTATTCTAATCACTTTAGATGTTGAGAAAAGATTAGAAATAGACCGCCTGTCACCCAGCTATGTCATCAATAGAGGTAGATTCATTAAGAAAGTTCTAGTGCCTTACGACGACTAGAGGTAATGTGCAATGATGTGACGTCACATTAGCAATGTATTCTCACCCTGTGTGGGGGTGAACCTGATGGGCTCATGTAACTTACTTCTTGACTCTCAACAATGATGGGACTGTTGTTTTACAATGCATGCAAGGTGATTTAAACAATTTTAATTCTATATAATTATGAGAAAAAATCTGATTGCAACTTTTTTAGACGAGGTGTTTAGTAAGTTTTACGGCACTTGCAACACAATAAGGTCATATATATAAGTGTCAAAGATTAGAGGCGTTACAAGAGAGTAACAAACATAAAAAAGAAGGAGTAGAGATCAGGACAATAGATGTTCGATAGGAAAGAAGAAGCAAACCACACCAGAGCACCCGCCAACAACCCAAGACGAGGTGTAAGCTGTGACAAATCTGTGTACGGAACAAAAGTGTTTGAGAAAACACAGCCAACACAAAGCAAATACAGAAATTCAGTTGAGGATTGGCATTATATTTGTAAGCTATCCTCGAAATTTCGAGTTTAGAATGTTGGTGTCTGTGCCCAACAGTCCTGCATCTGAAATTATGAGAATGAAGACACCTTAACCCTCTCGCGTATAACCTAGGAGAAGCTGGGACTAAAAGGGAGCAATCTCAACAGGGTCGTTCGATCAACCCCAGAGAACAGCTGTTCCGACAGATACTCTACCCGAATATTTATTATAACTATTTTGACTGATATCAATGCAACCTACATGACACTACATGTGGATTAAGAAAGCACTCATTGTTCAATTTTTAAGATAATGTTTGTTTGTATTACCTACCATGCATGATCAAGACGAGATAAAAAGAACAAGAACCAGGCTTCAATTTTTTAAATGATCAGAAAAAATTAAGTTAAAATAATGCCTTCCTTCACATAAGATGAAGCTACACAAGCCCACTTCTCCACTAAGTATTTCGTGTTACCAGTCATTTTACCAGTCACAGTCCTTTCTGAGTAGGAGTATTTCCCAATGGCAATGGACTACGTTTAAACTTCACTAGAAGAGTCTCAAGAGAGCCTAAAAATGGCATTCAAAGGAACCTGTTGATTTTGTTACACAGACCTGTATTATAATTACTATTCGAAGTGACTATTCACGAACAGCGAGCACCTAGCACACCTCTGTAATTGGCCCAAATATAGATGACGTATTTCCGCCATCTATTCTTGTCGTCTTCCGGGGCTTCCCTCACAAGTTTACTAAATCTCATCGTGGCGGGCCCACTTTGCCCCTTAACGCGGATGGGCTATGTCACTTAGGTTTCATCGTCGACTGCTTGGGCTATGTGTGTGAGTGTGTGTGTGTGTGTGTGTGTGAGCGCACCCTTGTGTGTGTGTATGTATGTGTGTGTGCGCGCGTTCATTGGTGTGTGTGTGTGCGGGTGTGAGTGTGAGTACAGCTTTGAGGAGAAGGTAAATCATGTATGGAACGAGAATTGCTGATATTGTTTATAAAAAGATGAACACAAATTAATACAACAAAAAAACAAACACGGTGAGATTTAGTCAACAGTTACTGGCGAAGGAAACCTAAGAGAGAAGAGTCTTGGGGTAAACCCCGGAAGATGACAAAAAATAAAATAGATGATGGAATTACGTCATCTATATTTAGGCCAATCACAGAGGTGTGCTACGTGCTCGCTGTAGCTTCATGCCCATTCATGACATGATCAAAATGTCTTGAAATGAAACTTGATGAAATTAGTTTATACTATTTGTAAATAAAAATAGAGATCTAGATTTCTAGATCTAGAATCTAAAAGTTTTAGTCATCAATCCTGTCTAGATCTAGAAAATCTAGAGCTCTATCTATGCTAGATTCTATATTATGACAGGAAAGTGTTTTCCGCTTTACATTTTCCTGGCCTAATATGTAAAAAACATAAAGCTAGATCTTATTATTATACCTAGATTCCACAATGACAGAGCTATGGAGCTATGCCATGGCCACTCATCAAATTTTATTCGAAGTGACTATTTTTCCGAATGTTAGGAGAAATAGTGCCCAGAAACAGAAAAAAAACGAAAAAAGAGAGATTTGATCATTGACACTTGTAATACACCATTTGAATTCTAATTTGAGTTGGGGGGGGGGGGGGTTGTATCGCATTGCACACAATTAGAATTAGATCTAGATTTCTTGATCTAGATCTAGATCTAGATCTAGATCTAGATCTATCCCATGATCTTTGTCCCTACGCAAAAGAGGATGAAAAAAGGAAAAATGAGGAAATGCTAGATCTAGATCTAGATAATTTCCATCCTTCTTTTGAAATGCCCTGTGCCAATAATATTTTGTAGTATTCACACACCCTGTGCGAATATAATTTCATAGTATTCACACACCCTGTGCGAATAACATTTCTAATTTAGTGGAAGTGGCTATTCTCATCCGGGGTGAGAATAGAAATTAATACGATCGAAATCTCACCCCGGGTGAGACTTGCCACCGTAGGCTATTCTCACCCGGTTTGAAACAAGACCTGTTTTTCCTTATTTTGGAATACTTTTTATCGATGTGGATGATCAAATTGATAAAAGCCAAGAAAAAATTACGTTATAATAGCACAAAAGTAAGCTAATTTGATCGTCTTCAAAGATGCTATGGCTATTTCACTGTTCGAATCGAGCCGAACTACGCGGGTCGCCATTTTGTTTTGCCCGGAAGTTCTCGCAAGATCTACTCCTCCCCTCTCTCTCTCTCTCTGTCTCCTTCTGAATACTGTCTATCAGTGTGGACGATCAAATTGACCAAAACAAAGTTTAAAAATGATGTTAAAACACAAAAGTAAATTAATTTGGTTGTCTACAAAGATGCTACGGCTATTTAACTTTTCGAATCGAGCCGAACTACGCGGGTCGCCATTTTGTTTAGACCGGAAGTTCTCGCGCTACTCCTCTCTCTCTCTCTTTCTCTCTCTCTCTCTCCACTGCCCACAGGACAAAATTGTACGCTTTTTAGTAGGGTGAACGCAAAATTTGTTGGCCTAGATCTAGGCTATAATATAACGGTGAACGCGCACCGGGTGAGAATAGCCAAAAGACTCGCTTGCACTATTCTTCTCACCCCGGGTGAGAATAGAGGTGGCCTAATCTAGTATTCACACACCCTGTGCGAATAAAATTTCACAACATTCGCAGTATTCACACACCCTGTGCGAATAAAATTGTGCGAATACAGTTCCATAGAATTCACACACCCTGTGCGAATAACTATACTACAGCCGCCATCAAAAATAAATTAATTTTCCTTCTCTTACCAACAAAATTCCTTTGTTTCATATATAGGCTAAATTATTGAAAGCTGAAATTAGACTGGACGTCTGGATTTCCACATCTAAAATAGAATAGTCCAGATCGACCACAAGAACTAAATCAGGAACGGAGTTTTGCCGAGTCTACACTTTACACTTCTAGAGTTCTAGTGGTCTACACTAACAACAGTGCCTACTGGGCGGGGACCCCCGACTCATCAAATGGCATAAATTAATTACCGAAATCTTGGAGAGTCCTTCAGACATTCTTTAAAGTCGACAGTGTACTTCATGTTTGTATTTCTATGTTACGCTAGCGCTTTTAAACAAAAACAGACACTAGCGCTTGATATTGATAAATCCACTACTAAAGCAGCCCTTCCTGATTTTTATCCTCCATAGTTGACACCTCCTCCCATGTTTACAATGGACGATGGAACTTCCTGTTTGTGACGCACAGAAAAGTATAGCGCTATTATTTTATTTCGCATTTTTTATTATCAGTGCAGATCAAAGTGTTTACAATTACAGTTCTCAGTTCGATTCGGACAAAGACCATAAATACATGTAGTATGGCCTATGGGTTTACTCCAACATTGGTAAACCTGATATGATAGCCCAAATTAGTCGGGTTGTTTTCAAAAATGATCTGTGTTGTCTGGAGATTGTAGTCTGTAGATCTATAGGCTTACATAATAAATCACAGAAATATCAAATCAGTTGTCATGCTATCAATCAGAGACATTAAAAATCTATTACAAAAGATACGTCCTTACGACGGTGTGTGCGCATTTATAGAGACGACAAATCCACGAAAAACAGCAACAGTTAGATCTTAGATGGAGCTTTGATCCGTTCTGTTTTATTGATTTGTTTTGTTTTGGTTTTTTCCGTGGTTTTCTTTATTTCTAAAGTAAGAGGGGGGGGTTCATTTCAAGACGGTCATAATGAACCTTCAATAGACCTAATAATTATATATCGATCTATCTATATCTATCTATCGTATCTATCATAGAGATAACTCTTAAACTTTGTAACGCAGAACTAATAGCAAGGATTTTAAAAATAGGTGGTTATGGGGCTGTATAGCCTATATGTTTACAAAAGTTCTACCTGTAGTCGAGGTTGCAGTGTTACACGAAGCAACATGAAAAGAGTGTATGAAACAGTGAGGAAAGTTGCGGAAAATATCAAACGAACAAACAAACAAACAAAAGTAATATGACAAGGGTGGGAAAAGACCAGTGTGAAAAAACTCAATTGCTGGGCCCAGCATTTTCCAAAGCTTTTAAACTTAAACAGGCCTGTCCCAGAACATCCACCAGATATACCCCCACAAGTTGCAGGCTGGATATATTAGGCATATCTGTAGTGAGCGATCAACAAAAGAAGAAGTCAAGCGAGCAAATAAACATTGTCAACTCCGAAATGGAAAAGCAGCAGAGACAGAGGGTGGGGGGGGAGAGAGAGAGAGAGAGAGAGAGAGAGA